TTGTTTTTCCTCAGCGGCAATCCCCCCGGACTTTCTTCTTCTCACTGCAGCCCTGTATATAGTTTCTGTCTCTTGTCCTTCCTTCCCCCGACATCCAGGCCCAGTGCCATTATGTCTCTTTTGCACACGTCTTTGAAATGAAGATATGCTCGCTTTCTTTCGTCTGACTTAAGGAACGATAATACCGGAGCAGGGCTAAGAAGATGGTTCCTGAAAGCGTGTGAGAAGATCAACGTCTCAGATTGCGAGGTTGAGAAACGACCGTAAACAGTAGTAGAGACTCTAGGTCTCGCCGTTATAAATCAGTTTGCTGAGGACATAAACCCTGTAGACAGCAACCATGAATTTTTGTGTTTTCGTCCAATATCTTCTCAGTATTAGACAAATCAAATAATACCCTATTCAATATGGAATAATCATAATTTCTACGTCAGCAAAAAATAATAATGAGAATTTGTGACTTAAACCTCATTCAGACAAAGAAACATATATATATATATATATATATATATATATGTGTGTGTGTGTTGTAGTGGACTAGTGGACTCAGCAGTTTTCAATCTGCCTGTCTGAATAATCTTCAAGAAGCGAGAGCACGAGCTAAAAGGTCAGCCAATCTAACAGTGATCTAATCTCACAATCCTCATATCGATATATATATATATATATATATATATATATATATATATATATATCGCATTTTATGTACACTATTTACATTATTCGGACTATTGTCCTCATCTTTGTCGCCATATTTATTACAACTTTTCAGGTAGTTGGAATATCGAACTGAACACTTCATTTCGCTCGCTGGGGTAGACTGTTCTAGTTGCACGTGCCATGTTTAATGGATATCAGTTATCCTCCTGTTAATTTCCCTCTCCAAGCCATTCACTGCTTTAACCCGGTATTGAACTCGCACTCTTTTTGGGTCCTGTCACTGGATCTAACCAATGACTTTATCCATTGTGTTATGTGTCCTTGAGGAATTATAGACAGATACGCATTTTATGTGTGTATATTAATTGGTGTGAATAGTTAAGTAATGACCAATACTTGGTTGGAAGAACATCCAAGATGCTTTAAAACACAAATAAATTATCTGAAACATCAATAAAAGATTTACGAATGAATTCTATATTCTAAAGTTAAACCAAGTCATGACTATGCGAGCGATTATCTCTCACTCTTATGCAAAGTAAGGATAAAACGTGAAGAAACGAAAAACAAAGTTAAAAATACGATACAACAAACTGATGCACAACAGAGTTAAGAACAAAAAGTTGAAAGATGTCAGGAATTCAATGTTGAGGGACATATGGGAAAGACGTGTAACAACAGCAAGTCACCTTAAGGGAAGAGAAAGAAAAAAATGAAATGTATGACAGGTGAATATCCCTTTCTGATGATAGAAAGACAGTTAAGCAATAGCGCAGAATATACGATGTTAGTCAAAAACATTAGGAATAAGCGCAGCAAATAAAGATTGGCTCAATGAGAATAAGTAATAAAAAATGCAGAACATGGTCTAAAAGGATAGACGTAATATCTGGGAAAAACCTGCTCTTCGGCGGGATGCATAATTGCGGCAAAAGAAAAGAAAACCTAGGTTCTCCTACAGAAGTTTGTAAGGGAAATCGAGAAGAAAGGACAAAACAACAGTTTAAAGAAGTCAGAGTGTATGGTTGTCAGCAAAAGTCACAGCGAAAGATACGAGGTACGAAGCGGAAACAAACCAAGATCAAAGAAATAGAAATATCTCAGAAGTTCTTTTTTTTAACAGAGGCAATATCTGAGACCGAAATCCGAAAAGTGCATTGGAATAAGAAAAGATGCCTTCCGAAAGCTAAGTAAAGTATTAAGAAAGAAGAGCATTTTTGATAGAAACAAAGAAAATACTACTGAACTATGCAATATCTGTCCTCCCACATAGCAATGAATGCCGGACAATCTCATCACATTGACTTGAGGCAACAAAAACGTGGTTCTACAGGATGTATGTCGAGAATACCATGAACTGAATTTCAAGGGAAAGACAAACAGTGGACTTAGATTTACAATCAGAAAGATAAAGCTGGAAATGAGGAAAGACGGCTTAGAATATTTGACGCTCACAGGACATAATGAAGGCAAGAGAGACAGAAAAAATGACCAAGGAATCTATACAATGTGTTTGTGCAAATATTTGGTAGAACAAATATTAAGAGAGATATCAAAAGGAAAAAAAAATCTTTCCAGTGCTATAAAAGAGGGGAAATTGTGGAGAGACATGATCGTCCACGTCCGGAATGGACGCAGCCTATAAAAGAAGAAAATTACATATTCAGAAAATTCTACCATAGCCACAGACGAGAGAAACCTATGAAACATAAAACAATACAAGAGTCTGTCAAATTAAAATCTGAAGTAAGATCGCCATTGGCCAAGACGAAGCGGAACAAAGGAACAGGGAAGATTAAATTGTAATCGATTTGATAAGAAATTTAGAGGATATCGGGATTAATAAAAAATTAACAGAATGAGCAATATAAATATAGAAATATCTTTCTGTAAATGAAGAAATTTGACAGTGTAAGTCAAAAAAAAAAAAAAAAAGAAAAAATAGAAGCTCCTGAAAATATTAGACTGGATTGATTTATCTGCCTATATTTCTGAGATGAGGTATTATGTACACTATTTATATTATTCGGACTATTGTCCTCATCTTTGTCGCCATATTTATTACAACGTTTCGGCCGTTCAGTATCTGTCTATTTTTCTGAGACGAGGTATTATGTACACTATTTACATTATTCGGATTATTGTCTTCATCTTTGTTGTCATATTATCACAACGTGCCATGTGTCTTCCACGACACATGTGCAGTAGATAAATACGTTAGTTAAATCCAGTGACAGGACTCAAAGAGTTGTGAGTTCAATACCTAGTTAAGGCGGTGGAGAACTTGTTGAGCGTAATTAACAGGAGATAACTGATAACTGACATCCATTGGACATGACACGTGCAACTAGAACAGTCTACCGCAGCGAGCGAAATAAAGAATTCAGTTCGACATTCCAACCACCTGAACAAGGCCGGAGCGTACAACAGTCGAAACGTTGTTGTTTCATTTAGTCAAACGCGCCAAAGATGACTAGAAAACCTAAAAGGATTTATTATTGGAGAACATAACCTTACCAACATAAGATACCGGATTACGACTACATCATGTTGAAACACCGTACGATCAACAAAGTTAAGCAACTTCGAGCCTGGTCAATACCAGATGATTTATCGCTTGGGAATATAAGGTAATGTAAGATTGGATGTGCAGGTGGTGTAATGGAAAATGGCTTGGGATTATTAATTTACGCGTAATATCTTTGGGGAAGGTATGAATCCAGCTCTCGTACCCCAACTATGGCTTAATTAGTATGACGTGTATCCCTATTATTATTTCCCAAAATGAATAAAATTATGTACAAAATATTTAGATTTTGTCATTAAATAATATTCAAATGGATTCTATGTCGCTAAACAAAAACAACTTATTAACATATGTTGCAGTCCCGGTAGGGTGCAGTGCTGGTTTATTACTAAGTGGCCTTGTGCCAGACACCACACTAAACTACCGAGTCTACAAGCAAAGTAAAAAGATAAAAATGTGTGAATGAACTACGAAGAAATGTGGTTAATCCACACGTGCATAAAATAAAATATATTAAGATAGCCGACACAGAATGACAGAAAAAGACTGGATTCCAACAAGAGTAATTTTTATTAAATGCAGGAAAAACAAGTAAATTATCCCGTAGTAGGGATCAATAAAAATGTTCCGCGCCAAATATAAAAAACAAGATGGCTAAAGGCGGGAAAAGTTCTTGAAGAAGGAGGTTCCAGATAAGTCAATGTACATGATAATATACATACAAGGAAAAAATACTCACTGCGAGTTTTGGCTAATGTGAGTGAAATGTTATGTATATATTTTTTTCTTTTTTTTGTACTGGTTCAAAACAGATTTATGACGAGGCCCAAAGGGGACGAAAAGTCAATACTTGGAGTTGCATCGTCTCGTAGGAGAAGGACTTGAATGACGAGCCAAAAGGGACGAAGAATTAATTATTTGGTATATGCATCGTCTTATAAAAGGATTTTGAATGACGAGCCAAAAGGACGAAGAATTAATATTTGGTATTTGCATTGTAAGATATCCCTCGTCTGTCAACCTTGCATATTGACATGGCTAAAATGAGTCTGCTTAGTGTGGATCCCAACTGAACTTTTCTGAAACAACAGTTTGTCGTTGACGTCACAAATTTTTCGCGGCAAGATTTCAAAAATCTAATTTGCATAGCAGGTCGCTTGGTTGGTGACCAAAACAGTTACTACTGTATTAGACCGAAAGAGGGAGAAAGGGGTATCAAACGCACGCGCGCGCCCGCGAGTGTGAAAGAAAAGGGAGGAAACTCGCGCGCGCGTAAAATGTCGTAGATGGAATAATACATTATTCCACACTTAGATACGAAGAACACTTACACTTAAAATCAAGAAAAGACAGATATAATTCCTTGACACATAATGAGAAACGTGGGCTCGGAAAACTCAACCCTCACGGGGCATATTGTAGGCAATTGAGATAGAAGAAAGCAGCCAGTCACTTACCTGTTGAGCTTGTTTGAACGAATCGAGGGTGGCGGCCTTAGCAAAGGGAGAAAAACCGCTCCGATACACCCGTAATAGAAAGTTGTAGATTGATTGTTTTATTTTTTTTACGTCTTGTTAACCTTTTGACATTATTGAAAGCTGAAAGATATTTTTGGATTGTAAGACGTTTTTGAGATGATAATGATTTTCTGATACATGTTTTAATATTTAACTGACATCTGAGAGAAGAGGATGAGTCATACCTTTTCAAGGGTATTTGCACATAAGTAAATATAACAAACCCGACTAGAAGTTGAACTCGGATCTCGGATTTCACATTTAGAGGCTTTATCCATTACACCCACATATCCAAGCTTACAGCACCTGGTGTTCACCACTGGTCACCCATCTAGTTATTAACCAGGTTCAACTTTGCTTAACTTCGGTGATCGGACGAGAAGCGGTGTCTTAAAGTGATATTGCTGTAAGTCAGAAAGTTGTAGAGACCCAGGATTGCCTAAGACCTGAATCGAAGTGTCACATTGAAGGAGAAGAATTCGATGAAAACAAAAGAGACAATAATAGTTGCGGCTTACATAATGGGGATGTCAAAATCAATCACTTCTAAAGGGTAACTTCTAAAACGCGAAGGTGACCAGAGTTTTTCATCCACTCATCTACAACGTTCAAAATTGTCGGTACAAAATCCTTCATTCAGAAAAAGTACAGTTTGAAAAAAGTAAGCGAACTTTCTTCCATATCTCAGAAGAACAATTCCTGTTTATTGTCGCACATAATGGGGGTCGTTATAAGATTCAACTAAGAAGTCTATCATAAAATCGACATTTGGATTACGAATGTAGACGTTTGTTTAACCACAAAAAATAAGCAATACTGTATCAGTTTTACGCCATGACATAACAAGCTCCTTTGTTATGTCACCTCCAGGGATACATTGTCTTTCGAATTTCCACAATTTGATTAACAGCAGACTGCAACCTTGTAGCAGTGACCGAGATTAAACGAAGGCTTGTAATTCTTGGCATGTAAACTCATCAACTGGGCTCACTTTGTGTGCGAGGAAAATAACAAAGCGTAGAATTTGTTATCTCGTCAACTTGTAATGCTTCATTTATTCAGAAAAATAGGAAAATTCCCACAAGGCCTTGCGGTTGTTGGCATGGCGTCAAACTTCCGTTGTGCACGGAGTTAGGCATCGATTTTGACAATTCCAATTCACTCAACCTTAAACTAATTTCTTAGATACACGAGCAACAGACAAGTATCAACAAACTTCTAAACATGTTAGGATACGTAATATATATATATATATATATATATATATATATATATATATATATATATATATATATATATATATATATATATATGGTGCGATGGATAAACTGTCCATGACACAAAAAATGAAAATAATACTGACATCACATTTTAACAGATATATTTACCAAAATGACACAAAAATATCTTGAAATACTAAAAAGTAGATTTATTCAATACAATCGCCATTGGCTTCACCCATGGCCTTCAGACGACTTTGGAATCTCCTGTAACTCTTCTGGCCAGTTTCCTTGTTTAAGTTGGTGAATGCTGCCATAATCTGCCTTCAGTTCATCTTTGGTGCTACAAGGAATTTTGTTGGTCGTTCGCTCAACTACGACCCAAACATAATAATCAAGGGGGTTAAAGTCTGGGGAGTGGCCTGATGTAAGGGGTAATGTGGCCACAGAAATTGTCTGACAGCCATGACTGGTTGTGTAACATGGTGACCTGTTACAAGACAGGGGTATTCCAGCAGCCATCCTCGTGACGCAGTGCAGCACTACCTCCTCAAGTGTACAGTGAAATCAACACTTAGAGACGACAAGCTGTTTCATGCGAAGTGTTCACTTCATTGTTCACGTTTTATTTACACACGCTCTATCTCTGATATTGAGCACTTTATCCCATAAATATATCACACCTTAAGACTATATTTCTTCATATATATATATATATATATATATATATATATATGAATTTACATCTATTTATTCATATTAGTCTTGTGTAAAAGTTGCAAACGTTATTCTTTTAAACTATTCCATGATGTATATACAGTCTCTAATTAAAAAAAACAACATTTGGAGCCATTTACATACACCTCTTGTATATACAGTCAGTTGAAAATACATATTCCCTTTTTATCCCAAAAGGCAATCTTTCATCAGTGTACAACGTGAGAGAACAATTACTTCAGTCGAAAGTTAGAATCTGGCCGTTGAAAAGTGGCATTAATGTTTCTCTTATCGAATAAACTCAATTTATATTCGGCCGCATAAACATGAAAATATGGCTGCCATTTGTGTATTTTATGGCTCTTACCAGTTATAAAATTGCTCATAAGCCTGTTTGATATCTGAATAACAATGAGACCGAAGCCTTTGTAGAGGACAATAAATATACAAGCACTAAAGGTAAATGTATTATTGGCCTGCTTTTCATTGGCGAATAAGTAGCCATATCATAAACTTTTCCTTCCAGAAATTTGTTTTGATTTCGATGTTTAACATATGGCGCATTTGAACTGTATATTTAAATAAATGCTCCTTATGAAGCAAAAAATCTTGTCTGAAGATTGAAATTAAAACTTTGCCAATATTTAATCAATTAATCCGATTATCCATCTCAAATATTCAATCAATTAATCGGATTATCTTTCCCCAATTTCCTTCTATTTTTTGGAGTTAATAGTTTCCTCATTTTTACTACTGGCAGTTGTTTTCTTTCCGTTTTGTACAGAAAATTTCTTATGCTGAATGATTCGTAGTCTTATGGGTGAAATTATTACCTGGGGTTGGTCTAAAGACAACTGTCCGAGAGGGGAAAGAAAAAGATTCTTGCTTAAACAATTTAGCGAGATATTTAAAATTCTCGTGTAACTATCGTTTAGTGACTCGGGTTTTATTGTCGCTGTTTCTAACTGATTATTTCTATGAACTCCAATAAAAACTATAAGTGTTTTTCTCAGATTGAAACGGCATTGTGCTCTCTTGATATAAAGGCATCGGTGGCGAGAGTTTGAGCCAAAGTAAAAAAAAAAAGTTAAGATTTTCAAAGCTGATTTAATATAGATAAGAAATAAAGAAAACAGCTGACATGCCTCTTGAACGAAATACCGTATTCCGTGGCGTAAAAGACAGAAATGTATACACAAAGTTTTTTTTTTCCTTTAACGAGTAAAACTTAAGCGAAGCTGGTGAAAACACTTTCAGAAACGAAGTGGGTAACTACAAGAAAACGATGCAATTTCACAATAGACAACCAAGTCTTGCATAAACGAATAACATAGTATCAACACTGAGTAGGCCATGAATTTTCGTCTATCACATTCAAGGGTTGATCCCAAGAGGAAGCTTCTTTCCTGAAACGCCAACCGAGACAACAAATGGAACTCATGTACAGGATCCATAGCTGGAAAAAATCGTCTGTTCATTGCAATGTACCCGCGATTATTTGATTCGGGGTGCAATACTCTGTATTTACAAGGGCCAAATCGGTGCCTAAGTCTAATATTAGCCATTTCTCTCTAACGTTTCAGTCTATCAATGTCTCACACAAGTAGTTTACTTTCCAACGCGTTTCCCAGTAACCATGATGGTTTCTCTTGCTGATTTCTGTTTTAACTCTATGTCGTGCCATGCAGCACTGACCTCTTGGAAACTCTGATCATGCCGTCGTGACTGTTAACATCTCTTACTCCTCCCCCACTGAAGAACCTCCTACCAACAGATCAACGTTCTTTTATCAGCGAGCAGATTGAGGCTAGTTCTGAGATTTCTTTCGTGATGTCTCCTGGAATACTGTCTTTATCCTCCAAAGTTAAAAGGACCTCCAACCTGTGGTTGAATAGGGCAGAAAATCGCTTGTAAATTTTAATGCCTCCAAAAGGAAACTACCTCACTGCTTTAGAGAAACCTCCCTTCGTTCTGTCAGCATGGTTGATGCTTAACTTCACGAGAACGTCTCCTGGTGCCTTCTCGGTCTCAGATTTTTTACTGACCTCAGACGAAACATCTACATTGAATCAATAGTTACATCTACTGCAAGGAAAGTTGGTTCTCTGTGTCGCGCCAGAAGGTTTTTCTTGTCTGAGTCCATCCTTTAATTCTACACATCTACCATTCTTCCTTGCAATGAATACTGTTTCAATATATGGTTTTGTGTGGCCGCTTCTCATCTCAAGTTTCTCGAAAAAAATCCATAGATAGAAACGCTATGCGATAGGGTCTCGACTCCAGTCACTTCCTCACATATATGCTTTAGATTTTACCCTCTGTCTTTTCTACAAATATTTTCATGGCAACTGCTTTGACGATTTTCACTGGTGCCCAAAATGGAATAATTTTAGCGTGATACTAGTTTGGCATCTCAGTCTCATCCTTTTACTACCGAAACAGTTAAATGCAACCGCCTCTTCTACTCCAACAGCTTCTTCTCTCGCACTTCCCGACAGTAGAACTCCTTTCTTCTTACTTGCTTCCCTGATAACTATAATTTTCAAAAATTTAAATGTAATGTCAATCGACATCTTCTGATGCCTCCATCTTGATTCCTATCCTTTTCTTTATCCTTTCCACAAACACCCCACTTTACTCTTGCTCTCACTCACCGTAACGCCTTGCATGCTAATGGCACAACTGCCTTGCTTGTGATAAAATGCTTAAAAAAATTGTTTTTATCTACCTCTCTGTATTACTATTTTCCATATTGTATTTTTGTCTATGCTTGGCCGGCTTATGAGATGTTTGTCGTTTAGAATATGCGCTAATTCTTTAAGTTTTCGTATTTTACAATTATGTTCTCTGTCTATTAGTTCATCTTGATCCCACAGGGAGCGATGATCTCTCTTCCCCCATTGCTAACCCTTCAGCCTGTCGATATATGTCTGATTCCATTCCGAAGTATGTGGTTTGTGTACAGAAAGTTAACATCCCCATCAAGTTGTCTATCTGGTATACTAGTCCGTTCCTGGGGATGAGTGAGTCCGAGGTCTGTAGTATAGACAGAAAACTTAGGACAATTTCAGGTATCATTGTTTGACAAATATAGATTATATTTACATTATTTACATTATTCGTACATAATGAATTCGCCATATCTATTACAACGCTCCGGTTGGTTGGAATGTCGAACGGAACCTTTTATTTCGCTCACTGCCTTAACCGGGTATTGAACTCACACTCTATGGGTTCTATCACTGGATCTAACCAACGCTTTTATCCACTGGGCCCTGTGTTTCCTTAAGGACACCTGGGTATGAGTTTCTGGGTATTATAAACCTAATGTCTCAGCAACCATTTTTACCAGTGCTCAGTGTGAGTTCAATACCCGGTTTCAAAGGGAAATTAACAGGAGATAACTGATAAAGGACATCCGTTAAACATGGCACGTGGAACTAGAACAGTCTAACCCAGTG